CTGCCGGTGCTCCAGTGTGCCCCAGCAGAGACTCACGCCTGAGGAGGTTCGTGGGGGCCGATGCTGAAGACCTGGTAGGACCCAGGTCATCTCCTGGCCCACAGCACCAATTACTTCTTTTTTTTTTTTTTTTTTTTTTTTTTTTTTTTTTTCCATTCTCGTGCCATTCCTGTGCCCACACGGGAAGCTTTTTCCATCTCATGTCCTTTCCCAAAAGCAGCAATCGTCTCTTAAATTTGGGAATCTGTGCTCCTGAAATTACCCTTGCTTATTTAACTTTCTTTTTCCCGAGCAGAGGCATCTTGCTCTTGCTGCATGGACTTGCACCCTTGCTCGTTAGGGCTCGGCTGGTTGACGGTGCTGGCCCAGCCCTGGAGAGCTGCTGTAACAGCACAGTCACGCAGAAATAAATGGCTCAGGGTGCGGCGTTCCCCTCTGCCTGCTCTGCCAGCTGAGACTGTTGGGACCTGGCTCGACTGAGAAGCAGACAAAGTTAGCTAATACCTGCCTCCTCTCCACTCATTTTTTGGCAGAAGTGGAGGATTCAGATTTAACAAGAACTTATGGGGATGAAGGATTTGGAGTGAGTAACAGCAGGGCAGTGTTCCCCCTCCCCATTTTTCTTGCCATGGGGGTAAACACATGTTTTTACGAAAGGTTTTACTTTTGTTGAAACTTCCTTGCGAGTGCACTTAATTCTCCGCTTTGTACTGGGCTTGGAAAAAAGCTGTCCTTTTTAAAGGTTAAAACTTCACTCATTTTGGGCAGACGCAGAACAGAAATAAGCAGCAATTTGGAACGGTTGGGGAATATAACTGTTTAAGGTGCGGCGGTGCTTGCGTGTTTTAAGGGTGTCAGAAAGCAAGTCAGGCCTCATGTTGTTTCCAGCTCTCCCGCAAACGTCTCAGGAGCCAGCCCTGGTTTTGCCCTCCCCGCTTCAGCTTCCCCAGCGGGTCGATTCCTGGTACTTCTCCAACAGAATAAGAGCAGAAATAAGGATCCTCATCACCGTGTTGCCTTCAACCCCTTTCTTAAGGGATGCGTGTGCTGGTGGGTGCCGGATCCTGTCTGCTCGGAGCCTCGTGACAAAAGGTTTGGGCAGCAAATTGCCCATCTCAAGGTCAGCATTGGCGTTTGCACCAGGATTTTCTGCCGTGGGCTTGGTGGGTGCGAGCGGTGCCCCGGGGGATGCGCGGCTCCGAATAAAGCACCAACCTCAGCAGCGCGCGGCCCGTTGCAGGTGGGCGCGGGCTGCGAGCCCTGGCTGATAAATGATGCTCATATCCCATTCAAATATGATGCAAGCAGTTTTTTTTTTGTAGTTTGTCTTCCATTGCGGTAGTAAAGTTTTTAATTAGGAAAGCTAATGAGATCGATTAGTCATTAGAACTGACCTCTGGATCTCTGCGAGGAGTGTGCATGTGTGCGCTGGGCTGATAACGGGGGACGCTGGGGTATTGTTTGTAATAAAAGCGTAAAGTGTTTGATTTGAGTGAAATGTGCCACGGGGAATACATCATGCGGAGAAAAAAAATTACAACCCTGGGAGCCTGTAATGAAGGGAATTAAACCAACATCCTATCTAAATAACATGATTATCTACACAAAACCCCTCAGCTAGCAAGTAATAATAGAAAACTGAGCTCTTCGGAGAGTCTCTTTCAGGATGTGGTTAATGCTGGAGCCGTGCACGCAGGCACTTTCAGAAGAGCAGCTTCGGCATGAATACACCATCCAATTACCACCGGGGAATAGAGTTTACCAGGTGCCAGCCTGTTTGTGCAAGGAGGGGGGGGACACACACACACACACGATGCCTGCAAGCCGCAACAATTTGGGACCTTTATTTCTTGTGCGAGCGTGAGGCGGGGGGGATGATGTCAGGCAGGAGTTTGATGAGGTTCTGGGTTGATTAGTGGCAGCTAGAGCTTGTGTAAGGGGAAAAAACAAACAAACAAACAAACAAAAACCTTAATAATATATTCAACGAATTCCCAGCTTAATAATTTTATAAGGTGGGAGCAGCAGAGGGAAAGGGTCAACTTGTGCTGTTGCTGTCTGGGGAGGATGAGGGGTTGTGGCTCTCATCCCTTTCCCGGTGTGAAAGAGCTGCTTTGGGTACGTGGTTGATGCTATATCCATGAGAGGCTGGATACATCCATGCCTCCTGGGTGACAAAAAGGTCTTGTAGGCACCAGCCCTCACCATAACTGGGATTTCATCACGTGTGTGCAGCGTTGGGCCGTGCAGGGGTTTGCATGTCTGCCCATTTGTTTGTTCCCGTTTTGCAATCCTAAATACAGTTTTCTCCGAAGCAAAACGCTCCAGCTTTGCGGGTGCTTGTGAGCATTTGCAATTAGAGCTTAAACCTTGCAAAGGCCTCGAAAAACCCACGTGACGGTGCAGTCGCCACCCTGAAGAATTTAGTCTGATACAAAAAGTCCCCAGACCAGGAAACAGCGATGAAACTCCGTTTGCTTTCTGTCTTCTTTCCTCTCTCTCTTCTTCCCTCACCTCTAAAGCAACGAGTGTCTGCAGTTCCTCTGGTCATTGAATCATCAGATGGTTTGGGTTGGAAGGGACCTTAAAGATCATCAAATCCCAACTCCCCCGCCCCGGGCAGGGCCCCCTTCCCCCAGCCCAGGGGGCTCCCAGCCCCGTCCAACCTGGCCTTGAACCCTTCCAGGGAGGGGGCAGCCACAGCTGCTCTGGGCACCCTGGGCCAGTGTCTCACCCCCCTCATCATTAAGAATTTCTTCTTATGTCCAATCTAAACCTAACTTCTTTCAGTTTAGAACCTTTGCCCCTTGTCCTGTCACTACAGGACTTTGTAAAAAGTCCCTCCCCACCTTTCCTGTCCCCCCCTTTAAGCCCCGGGAGGCCGCTCGAAGGGCTCCCCGGAGCCTTCCCTTCCCCAGGCTGAACCCCCCCAGCTCTCTCAGCCTTTCTCCACAGCAGAGCTGCTCCAGCCCTCGGACCATTTCCGTGTCCCTCCTCTGGCCCCGCTCCAACAGGTCCGTGTCTGGCCCGTGCTGGGGACCCCCGAGCTGGCTGCAGGGCTCCGGGGGGGCTCCCCAGAGCGGAGCAGAGGGGGAGAATCCCCCCCCCCTGGACCCGCCGGCCACACTGCTCGGGGTGCAGCCCAGGAGACGGTCGGCTTTCTGAGCTGCAGGAGTTCATGCTCAGTTTTTCATCCACCGACACCCCCAGGTCCTTCCCCGCTGGGCTGCTCCCCATCCCTTCATCCCCCAGCCTGGATTCATACTGGGGATTGCCCCGACCCGGGTGCAAGACCTTGCACTTGGCCTCGTGGAGCTTCCTGACGTTAACATGGGCCGAACCAAACATCCGCTTTGATTGTAATTTGTATTCCCAAACACCAGAAGCTCTTTAAATTAGCAGCGTTGACTTCCCAGCTTTTCAGTTTGTTTGACATTTACCAGTTGACTTAACGCACCCGTAGTCGGAGCGTACTTTGTAGCACTGCTGGTTTTATAGGTGCTCGCCCCTTAATAGCAGCATGCTGGACTTGAGAGCATCATCACAAGTCCGCTGCTTACTGCGCCGCCGCAGAAAAATAATTTGCATGCAGGCATTATTTTGATGGATTCATTAAGCAGGGGTCCCGCATGTGAGTCAGAGGACTGTAAAAGAGTCTCTTCAAATACTTTGGTGCGTGGGTCTGGCTGCAAACAGGGGTTGGAAGTTCCATACACTGAGGCACGGGGACCCGTAATGCCAAGTTAGAGCTGGCTGGGCTATTTATACGAAATGCCTTCCAAATTTGATTGCAGCCACATGAAAGAGATTATTTGCGTGGTGTCGTGAGCGTGCTCAGGGCTTTATAGGTGGCCTTGAAGGCCGTGAATCCCTCCATACGCTCCTTGCTCGGCGATCATTTATCTCACAGTATAGCATTGAGGAGCGTTGCGATTGTCATCTTTATTATGAAGAGTTTCGGTGATTTATCTGTCGTGGCAGAGCCTGCTTTTCTCCTCCCCCCCCCCTTGTCAGAAGTTGTAACTCTCGGGCTGAGTTTGGGAGTGGAAATCCATGCCACGGGCTGCCTGATCCCTCCTGAGCCCAACATGAGGTGTCGGCTTGCTTGGGAATGCGCGAGAAGGAAAATATTCTCCATATCAAACTGTAAAGCCACGGTTCTCCGTTACCACTGCTGCTGGGAGACGGGGAAGCTGCACCCTCTTTTCTGGGGGAATAAGATCAGCTCTAAAATGCATTTCCCTATTTTTCCTGTTTTGACACAGATTCAGCATCCTGAGATTGCCGGTTTACCTGGGAAGCACGCTTCTTCTTCCTTCTCTCGCAGACACAAACATGGGGATGGGTACAACATTTTCAGGGGAAATAATGATTCTGCTTTTCCCCTCTCAACCTTGCAATAATTTTAATTAGAGTATCTCCAAGAAAAACAGCCGGCCCTTTAAATCAGTTATAAAACCAGAAGACTTAGTCTCAGCATGTAGTGTCAGCTTTAATTATCTGGGCAGTTATAGCTGTATGTTATAAAAGTCGGGCAATTAGATGCATTCCTTAAAGCCGCGAAAAAAATTGCTAGCTATCAAGTGGAGGAAAACCAGAATCAACCATATAACTGTTAATTGCATGAAACATTCAGCAGAATAAACCAGCCTGTAGATCATCCTGTAAAATATGACGAAAACACGAGCGATTAAAGGCGTAAATCTGTTTCCAGTGTAGGTGTTGGGGCTCAGGGTATTGTTGGTGAACGCACGATTCACCTGGTGGAGTTTTGCTGCTGGGCTGGTGAAGCCAAACACTTCCAAGCCCATCAGGGCCTTTCTGTTGCCATCAACCATGGTGGTCCCGTGCCTGACGCACCCCAGGGGTCTTTTGCCCCCTTTTTTTTTTTTTTTTTGTTTTACTAAAGAGTTGAGTGTAGGACCTACGTTGATGAGCTCCCTTCTGTCGCACGCGCACTTGAATATCAAGCCCTTTTTTTTCCGTTTGCTTTCTCACAGGAGCCAACTTGCACTTCCTAAGGAGCCCCCCGGCCAACAAGGTGATAAAGACGCGCTACAGGATAGTGAAGAAGAACGTGGCGTCTCCAGCCTTATCATCCTTCAGCAGCCCCAGTCCCAACTGGAAGACGAGGCGCCCCGTGACATCCAGGTAATTCTTCCTTCCATCCCTTGCGTGCAGCTGGTCGGGCTGTGGGAACCGAGGGATCTCCCGCCTTGGCTCCGTGTTATTACCGCTGCATGTTCATCGCTTAATTCCTCTCTTTGTTTAGCTCCTTCTATGCAGTTTATTGACTTAAAGTGTAAAATCGTGTTAGTAATCACGTTAGCCCGAGTTGGCGGCCAACAGCTTACCACAATCTATGGCTTCATATTTATTCCCTGTTTGAATTAATTGTTTCCGCGGAGCAGTTAAATAAGCTGTGAGGAAGATGAATAAACCCACGCAGGTCTACATCAGACATAAGTAAACTCATTGCTTGTTTTAGAGCTGGGCGTGGCCCGTTAATTAGGCGTGGTCAAGCCTGTTAACGAGGCCAGATCTTCCCTCTGCTTTATAACATTCTTGTGCACGTTGGTGCCTCGGAGGAGCTTATTGAAAGCGTGTTGGAGGCCGACGGCCCAAACCTACACCGGGAGGTAGGTGCAGGCACCAGCTCGCTTCTTCCCAGGTTATCGGGGCGGGTGGAACATCAGCCCGGCCCTGGAGCAAATAATTCGACGTGCCAGCACCCGCCTTGAGGAAAAATGGTGTCACTAAAGCATGGTGCTGTACCCTTGAGTCTGGATCTTCCTAAATCAGCTGTGCCGACGTCCGTGTTTCAGTTACGAGTGAGCTGCCGCCACGTTAGCGGGTGGGGGGATGTCACCAGGTTGCATCTCGGAGGCCGAGACAAAGCCAGAAATTTGTGTAGAAGCAGAAAGGCCGTTACAGCAATCGATGCTCTAAAAAAAGGTGCCGTTAGAATGGATGGTTTTGGTTATAACCCAAATTCTGGTCATTCTTAGGTTGAGAATGGCTTCTCCTCCCCCCTGAAATGCCGGCTTGCCACTGTTACAGGCAATATTTTGGGCAAAGACAGCCCGCTCTGCTCTGGGCTTGCTCCTTTGATTATTCATTCTGGGAGAGCAAACCTGAGGAGCTGGTCCCCCATGGCCCCCACCGTGGGTCGGCATCAAGGTCCTGCTCCAGGTGGTTTCTTCCAAAAGTTATTTCCCCCCCCCCGCAGCAATGCGCCAGGGGTTGACGGCTTTTATGGTGGGTGCTGCAGAGAGACAGAGATTGCAGGGATTGTTTTTGAAGCTTAACTTCACCTGATTTTTCTCTGTACTCAGTGAATTTGGCTTCACAAATTTTGGTATCTGAAGGGAGAGTTGGTTTTGGAAAACTTCAGGGTGATGAGGCAAATTACCAGGTAAACAGATTTTAAAAAAAGGTGTTTATTTGCAAACTTTTTTTTTTTTTTTTAAATATAAAACTATGTCTATTATTTTATCTTGTTGTTTCAAGCTCTTAGTTGAGAAACTCCTCGTCTCACATGCAGTATGGGCCTCAGTTTCAAAGTGTTTCTCATATGGAAACTCTGGGATCCTTTTGGGCTAGTGGCTGATTTCCACCCAGATTTTTTGCGGTCGGTCTCACCTGGGCCGCCACCTCCTTTTTCTTCACCTTCTACTTTTGCCTTCGATATTTTCCCACCTACACATCATGTCATTTTGAGATCCACACGTCTCCTTTTGTTGTCCCTCAAAAGCGGCTGGTTTGCCTCCTCCAGTGTAATTACTGCTCCGTTTCTAGGTGCCACCTCCATCTGCACGTCCTTGGGGCCAACTTCTTGCATTTCCCTTGCCACAGACAAACCACATTTTCTTTTTCTTGCTCCCTCATCCTGCATATTTGTTGAATCAAGGCAGCATGTGCGTGCATCTTACCTGCCACTGACAGCTCTTCCTTGCTCACCGCTCTCAGGCTATGATAGAAAGCCAGACCGTCAAATAAATAATTGTTGTATTTCTTCTTTGGCCCCAAAGGCAGCTTTTAAAAAATATTATTATTAATTTTTCAAAGTGTGGCTTTTGCATTGCGAGTGCACAAGTATGGAACAGTAAAATTTAAATTGTGTTGCTTCTTAGAGGTTCATAATTTGCTGCTGGTAATTACGGCGCCTGGTATTTTGCGTGCAAATGAGGATTTGTTTCTCGTGGCTTTTAATCTCCTGTTTTCTCCTGTAGTGTTGGTGTAACGCTGACTGGTTCTGGTCACTCCTGTAGCTACAGTCGCTGATGTGCAGCTCAGATTGCCCCTAATGAAAGCATTTACATCCTCGTCGACATACATCTCGCCCTTTCCCATCACCAGCTCAGTTTGCTGCTTTTTTTGGTCCTGAACCAGCTGTTTTGAGCAAATCTTCCTCCTTTTCTTTAGGTGGAAACAGCTGCTGCTTTCTGTTCCTAGCGCAGGCAGTCCTGTTCAAACAACCCTTCTCCCTCTGTCACTGCCCTGGCTGCAAATCCTGCCCATTTAGCGGAGAAAAGATTGATTTTTGTTTCTAGCTTTTTTTTTTTTTTTTTTTTAATATTCTGCGAGGAATCTGGGCAAAATTGCTGCTTTAGTGTCTCTCCACCGTTAATGCGCCTCAGCTGGGAACTTGAAAAATAAAATGTGAGCCAGGCAAGGCTCGCCCTACTCTGTAATCATCCCCGGTTTATCCCCGGGAGGGGAATCTGCATCTTGTACCTGCTCTCTGTTGCTGGATTTGGTTCCGCAAGCGCTTTCGCAGCCGGGGAAACGTGATGATGTTTTTTGCCACTCGATGCTCTTTATAGCGAGACTTCCCGTGTCGTGCTGTGACGTGACACTGCCCAAAACTGTTATCACATTGATGTACGAGCCTGATTCACAAAACTCTTTCAGGCATGAGGGAGGGGGAGAGAGGCTTCTTGGATCAGATTTAATCTGCCGCCCCTTGATGAAGTGCAGATGAGTGCGTTTAATCTGATGCCGTAATAAATTCCTAACTTGGTTGCCCAGAGAGGTGGTGGATGCCCCATCCCTGGGAACATTCAAGGCCAAATTGGATGGGACTTGGAGCAACCTGGTCTAGATGGAGATGCCCCTGCTCGTTGCAGGGAGGTTGGACTGGGTGACGTTAAAAGTCCCTTCCAAGCCCAACCCTTCGATAATTCTATGAACTTCAGCTTTAGTTCATAGAAAACAACTGGTGCTCTGACTGTTTGGCTCGGGTTCTTCCCTCGCAGCTTGTTACTCCAGGTCTGGATGGTTGATGGATGGGAGATCCGCGGTGGGAACTGAGGAGGGCAGGAACTTCAGGCGGGGTTAGAACAAGAGGCTCTGGCTGCTGGGCGATGGGTCTTGCTCAGCCAAGCAGCGATTTTGCGGAGGAGTGACCTCTTCATGGTGCTGTGATTGGCTGAGAGCTCCCACTTGCAGAATAATTTTATTCGTATTAATCTCTGACTTCATTAAATAATGTAGTTTAGATCTTACAGCTGTTTCAGACAAATCTTGATAAAATGCCATCAGCAAATTAAAACAATTATATTTTAAAGAAGCAATAAATCTCCTACTCAGTCTCCCTATTACCTTAGTTGTGTGTGATCAATCATCTGGACTGTCTGGAGGAGGCACGTGGCAAATGCTTCTCCTGTAGTTTTTATGTTTTTTTTTCTTTTTTTTTCTCCATCGTTCACAGCATCCTCCTAGACCTGGAACAAGCAATGAGCCGGCAGCTGCTTTCTTGCTTTGCTTTTACCAAAACAACGAGCAGCTTCGGTGGCCGCGGGACACGCTGTGCCTGCCTGCAGCACTGGTTTAGTCACCTCTTCATTTTTGCCTTTCGGTGTGCGTCGTGCTGACTGGTCAGCTGGTTCTTTTTAATATCCTTTTCACCTTAAGCCAGGAGTGTGATGTTAAAAAGGCTGGTGGGGCTGCAGCCAAGCGCTACTCCCAAATTGGCTTCTAGGTGACGCTAAGGGGAGGTTCTTACTATAAAATCCAGGTTTTGGGGTGTCCAGAAATGATGTGGGAGGATTTTACCCAGGCACCAATCTTTTCAGATTTAATACGCTGCTGTAATAAAGTTCAGGCAGGAGCTGTGTTCTTGTCCATCTTGTGAACTTGCTGTTGTTAAAGGTGGTTCTGAGATCCGCCCCCTCTCTTTTCGGGTACGTGTGCTGCAATTTGCAGCAAGAAACCTTGCTGGGGCATCCGGGACGTTGCCCTCGTTGCCAACAAATTCCCCCCCAAATGGCCAGGCTGAGGTGAAGAGGGATGTGTCTTTGGGAAAGGAGCGATGGGGAGAGTCAGTGCAGGTCTGGAGGTACCCAGTGCTAATCCCTCGGTGATGAGTTGCGTTCTCCCCTTACTGCTGGGTTGCATTAAACTTCGCCCTGCTGCTGACTTTTCTTAGAGGCGATAGATGGGAGTATATTTTAAATTAATTTTACCACACTTTTTGTAATATTTTTGTTTTAAATAGATTTATAAGCAACTTGGGGGCTATTTCTCCAAATTTATGAAGATAATTTTCACTCTCTTGATAAGGTTAAATTTACACCTGCTATTTCCATATTAATTCACATTGCTAAGTGGATCTAATTTTCTTCCGTTCTTCTATCTAGCGAGTGTGGCCTTTCCTAATGCAATTTCCCCCTCACTAAATCACTGTGATCGGGAGTCATGATCGAGTTAAATTAACTTAAATTAATTTACTTAATAAGAGCTCCAGATCATTGTGAATGAGGTTAAGATTTATGGATTCTCCTTTTCACTCCTCCCCCTTATCTCTCCCTGCTTTGCAGGAGCGCAGCTCAGACGGGCTGTGATTTGCTTGCCTTAAATTCCAGTCGCTCCTGTTGACGTTGGGGTTGGCCATCACTTTGGGGGGGGGGGGGTGGGGGGGTGGTGATGCCCTCTCCCCACGCAGCCTCGTGCCGCCGGGCGAGGGCTGAGCGAGTTGCCACGGCGGAATCTCCAAGTTGCGCACAGATCTTGCCCAGGGGCAGCAGAAGCCCTTCGGGGGGGGGGCGGGGTTGAGCGTGCTGTAGGATTGTGGAAACTGCTAGAAAAATAGATAGGGCATCTCTTGTTGTGTCTTGGATCCTCTACCCCCACGCGCCTTGGGTGGGAGG